AGGAAGTCCTGATGCCTCATTTTTTAGCTTCCAGTGCAATTTAAGGTCATCTTGATGGAAGTGAGAGTTGGTGCGACTTTGAAAGTTCATTTTGAGACTTTCAGTTAGTGCCCTCTAGTGGTATTTAAAATCCCTTGTTTTACAGGGAGCATTGAAGAATTATGGTTTCAACTTCAGGCCATGCACATCTGAAGTTACTAAAAAATCTCAGTTTACTAAAACACACTGAAACACTTCATTTTCTTTGTAATTATGAACAAAATTTGGGGATTTACTTTTTTATGAAAAATTCTGTTAATAGTGTCATTCATGTCAAATTTATATGTTATTAATAGCTATTTTTAACCTATTTCATCATGTATCGTAATATATTGAAATGAGAGTAAGTAAATTCTTTAGGCTAAGCACAACTTTTTAAAAAATTAGAAATCTAAAACATCTCAATTTTTCAATTGAATAGATTGATATGCTGCTGAAAGAGTATTTACTTTCTGGAGATATATCTGAAGCTGAACATTGCCTTAAGGAACTGGAAGTACCTCATTTTCACCATGAGCTTGTATATGAAGTAAGATTACTTTGACATTCCAAAGAGAATAATTGTGTTCCTTTACACACTTAATGCTGCTTTAATAACATACATCTTTTTTCTTTTTAAAAATTAACATTAATGGAGAAAGTGATTTTAAAATTTTTATGATTATAGTTATGTATTAAAGAGAAAGGATCTGATACATTTTAGGAGCAGTTTCTTACATGAATTAATGACCAAAAATACATTCATTCATTCAATTTTTAGGCCATTGTAATGGTTTTGGAGTCAACTGGAGAAAGTACATTCAAGATGATTTTGGATTTATTAAAATCCCTTTGGAAATCTTCTACCATTACTGTAGACCAAATGAAAAGAGTAAGTGTAACATTATTTTGAACAATTTTAAGGCTTCTACCTTAAATATATAATTGAATAAAGATTGTGAATTGTTAATGAAATTTTTCTTTAGGTAGGTTTAGTAGTATTATGTCTATAGTTTTGTTTTTGTTTCAATGGCAGTGTTTATGTTTGAATCTCTTGTGGTCATTTCTTGGAGAGTATTGGCTTTTTTAACCTGTATTTTATTTTACATTTTAATTTTAATTTTTTCATGTTAACCTATATTTTTAAAAATGTGATTGGGTTCTTCAAGTGTTCTATTTTTAAGATATGGTAATTTGTATCTAGAGAGAAACATGAACATTTAACAAACTACTTTTAAAGTACGTAATTTATTCCTATTTAGAATTGTATGCATTGCTATTAAAATGTTGGTGAGGTTCTTTTTATTTTTGAAAAGTACAGTACATGTACAGGGGTGGGCAAAAGCATAGACTTACAGTTTTGAGTATGTGAAAGTTTATTCTTGTACTACTTAGTAATATTTATTTGTATTACAACTGTAAACCTACTTTTGCCCTCCTCTGTATATAGAGAAGTCAGTTGGGGAAGAAATTCATCCAGTATCTGATGAAGATCTGTTGAGAGAACAGTTTTAAGTAAAACTCTACAAAAAATGTTCCTATTATCTGTACTTTTCAAGGTTCAGATCTGACTTCAGTCTTACTACAAGAATATTTAGCCTTAAATATAGCTTGATGACAGTAATGAGTTATAGGCGTTACATATTTTATATAGGGTAATAATTCTGTATACAATTTCATTGTTTTAGGGTTATGAGAGAATTTATAATGAAATTCCGGACATTAATCTGGATGTCCCATATTCATACTCTGTGCTCGAGAGATTTGTAGAAGAATGTTTTCAGGCTGGAATAATTTCCAAACAACTCAGAGATCTTTGTCCTTCAAGGTACTTTATTTATTACTTTCTCAACCTAAAATACCAGCTGAGGTGATTGAAAAGGCTAAGTTAATTTCCTGTTATTCCAGTTCTGTCAGAAAAGTAATACTATCTTTTCTGGAGCCACTCAAGAGTGAAAATCATCTATTTTGTGTTTATGGAGAAAAAAGGGTGACGTTTATTTTGCCCCCTTGTGAATCCAGACAGAGCTACCTCATAAAGTCACTGGAAGGAAACCAATTTTGTGGAGCGGTTCTGTGTACCAGGCTGTGTTCTAAGTAGTTTAAATATTTCCACATAGATATTATCATCGATGAGAAAATGGAGGCTTAGGAATTATAACCTTTTTCTAAGGTTACACATGTTAGGGGCCAAGGATAAATCCAGACTTTCTCTTTCTCTGGCTTCAAAGATCAATATCATTCCTCCACTCTGTGTTGCTTCCTTTTGCTCCATCATTTTCCTTTTGGACAATTGGGGCTAATTGGATCTTAATTCACTATGAAGTGTATATGAGATTCTTTGGAGGTAACATATTGGGTTGGCCAAAAAATCTGTATGGTTTTTTTTTCCGTAAAATAAAAGACACTTTTTTCATTTTCACCAGTAACTTTTATTGATTTGGGTATTTTGAGTATGTTGGCTATCTCCTGCATGGAATAATATTGTTTGTTCTCAGTATCTTGATTTGATGCTACCAACTTCAGCTGGTCTTACCCGGCAGTGGAGTGGAGTGGAGCGTAGTCCAACAAGAAATGCCCACCATGAAACTTCTCCATACACTGCACAAAATTTGTTTTGCATTTCAGTTGCGTTTTTTTTTTTACCTTTCTTGAAATAATAAAGAATAATATGCCGAAAATGTTGCATATTTTCTCCCATCTTCATTATTAAAATGGCTACACAAAAATTTGCAAATTTTTACAAGTTGCTTTTTTAAAAATGCATGCTGATAAGACAACTGTCACAAATACAATCGAACGAAATTGTTTTGAATGATGTGAAAGACAACTAAGCGCTACTTGTGCCATGTTTGAAAGAAAATAAACAAACTTTGGTCAACCCAATATTTGTGCTACTAGGATCTGACTCTTTAGTAATAGCTAATTTTCTTAATGTCAGTCTATTTTTTGTACATTTTAAGTTTTTTACAATTTTTATCAAAGAATTTCTAAACTTTGCCTATTTTTATTAGAGTGTAATGTGAGTGTTAAATGTCAGAAAAATATTTCCTGGTAGAGTCCTTTGTTCTAGAAAGTAGGAGCCATTAAGAAAGAAAGAAAAGATAACAGTGAAAGGTACAGTTTATAGCTTTGATAAAAATGTTTGAAAATACAGAACTCTAATTGACAATGGCACCCTTTATGTACTGATGTGCCAAGTGGTATACATCAATAAAACTGTCTACTTAGGCAAGACTTCCTGCTTTGTTCCCCAGCTGGTCTCCTAACGTTACAGTCTACACCTTTATGTTCATGCAAATATAGCTGGTTTCCACTTGGTATGAAAAGGGGTCTATACCTTGGCACTGGCTTTTTAAGTTTCAGTCTCTGTTCAAAGGTCTAACTGATCATTTCTATTGTGGCTTTACTCTGAGGTATCATTTCAAGAGATACCTAAACTTTTTATGTATCCCATACCATAGAACTTTGAATTTTTTGCCTCTCTTTTGCTTATTTAGGTGAAGTGGTCTCAAATGCCTTTGCATGTTGGTGTAAGGTCAGAGAATAAGGGCTAATTCTGCCCAAGCTCTTTTTCTACTTCCTACTTTAGGCTGCTGGTCAACTATTTCTCCTGGACTGTTGCTGCTACACATAGCTAGAATGTGGTTACAGTACAGAGCAAGGCCACTCGAGATTGAAATAAGAAAAATCCTGAAATGGGGCATAGACTAGAATTAATTTTATTCTGATTTTGATTTATTTTTCCGTATTCAGGTTATGTCTTTTCTACATCTGAAACATTTTTTTTAAAAAAACATTTTTACATGGGTATTTAGATAGGTTCCTTAGCTGTAGTTTGCATAATTCCAGATTATATTGTTGTTTCCTATTTGGTTTACTGTTTACCTTTCAAATAATGACATAGTAGAAATAAATATTACATTTCTAAATAGCAAATGTTTGCTTTATTTATAGTTTAACTTTTTTACATTACTCTTTGAACAGTGAACTTCTTTCAGTAATTAAGCTTTTATTAAACTAAAAAATGCTCAGATTAGCAGTTCATTTGATATGTCCTAGTTATACCCTGGGATATGTATGTAGCAGGGAAGGAGTCTTTTTCAAAAGATTTACAGGTATACTGACTTTTCAAAACAACAATAAAACCTTTCAAAACTTAATGAACAACCAGGAAATACCAAGGGAAATACCCCTATTTTATATTTTTTAAATGGACTATAGTCAAAATTTATATCTGTTTTCATGTTTATGTTCTTTGCATTACAGGGGCAGAAAACGTTTTGTAAGTGAAGGAGACGGAGGTCGTCTTAAACCAGAGAGCTACTGAATATAAGAACTCTTGCAGTCTTAGATGTTATAAAAATATACATTTATCTGAAGTGTAAGAGTTAGCACAGTCTTTTTTTTTTTTTTTAAGCACTTGGGTACAAGGCATTTCTGAAATTTTTATAGACTTTAAGGGAAATTTTTAAAGGAAGTGTTCTTTTTCTTTCATTCTTTTTTAAATTTCTTATTTTCTTTATTTTTTTGACAGTATAAAGGAGGGAAAGAAAAGTAACCACTTGTTAAGTGGAATATTCTCATAAGCTACCTTTTTTAAGTGCCATGTTTATGATCTAATCATTCCAAGTTTTGCATTGATGTCAGATTGCTATTCCTTTCTTTCAAGGACAGTGTTTTTGTAGTAAAATCACTGGTTTATACAAAGCTTTATTTAGGGGGTAAAGTTAAGCTGCTAAAACCCCATGTTGGCTGCTGCTGTTGAAATACTGTGCTTTGGGATTAAAAAAAAAAGTTATTTGTCTTAAAGAATTTTAAGAAAATGAGTTAGTCATGAGACTTATTCGTCTTTCCAGGGAACATAATGATTGGTCTTAAAAGACTAAACAGTTAAGTAAAGGGTGGCTGGAACATCTTATTTTTCTACAAAACTGGAAAAATGAACCCGGTTCTAAGAGAATGTGACAAAATAAAACATGTGAAGCAGTGTCGATTCTTTATTGGGAGTACATTTATTTTAGGCTTAAAAAAAACTTCACTCAAAACTTTTAAATCACATAAGGGGGTGTATTTGAACCTACTGAGTTTAAACTGTGTTCCTTACAAACTTATTTGCTGCTGTTCTTCTCTGCCATTTCTTGTCGGCGAATCGTTTCCTGTGCTGCTTGTTGCATTTTCTCCAGTTTTTCCAGAGTCAGAGATTTTAAGGGTAAAAGTTTGGGCTTACACAGCACCATTGTGGTTATATCTTCCACAGATAACTGACCTAAGTTTAAAAAGAAATAAGAATTAATTTGATTTGAGATAACCTAGTTGTATGGTGGTTTGGATTTGCAGGTAGAATGGAGGTCTAAAAACTTGATAATGAAAATCTCTTGTTTCTCCTAGTTTTTATCCCCTGTAACATTTCTTCAATATATTAAAAAAATTTTTAATGCTAGGGAGAGTTCATGAGGAAGACAAGTTTTGAAATTTCTACCTAAGATTCTAAGCTACCCCAGGACACAACTTTTTGTTGTCAAATACTCAATATGAAAAGATTCGGGAAATGCATAGTGCTTAAGAAGACTTGCACATGCACAGTGCCTAAAAATTACTCAAGTTACTAAATGTTTAATGGAAACCTTTAGCATTTTTTACCATTGCTTGATTGCAGTTTCTTTCTTTTATTCACATTCAGACCTTATATACTAAGTTTTCAATGAAAAAGAACTCTGTAATTATCCACCATAATATAAAATGAGTTCTTTTTCATTGAAAATTTAGTATTGTAACCTGAGTGTGAATAGGATTTCTAGGTTTAAGAAACAACACTTTCACCTTTTTACTAGGAAAAATAAAAAAGTGATGGATTACTTCTTGACAACCTACTCCTGAAAGAAGCACAGTAGAATTGGACAGTAAATGTGGGATACATAACACAGTAGTTTCATATTTTTAGCTTTTGAGCCTACTATGTGGCACTGCCGATTACTTTTTTAGGTCCCCATAATATTCTGTGATCTAAGTACTTATGATTTAAATACCTTGTTTTGGAAGAACTTCCCGGAACATGGACTTCACTTCTGCCATATCTGAATTGTTGGATACAGTTTTTCCTTCTATGAGAAATCAAGTATTAGTATTATTCAAGAATGGATTTCCCAACATATTGCTTGAGATATTTCCATTGTAATTTAAGAAGTAAAATCACAATTCACATAAAAAATGAACTACTTATCCTTGTATATTTTTTCCCCCTTAATTTCCTGTGGATCTTTTAATTGAAACAAGGTTGAGATAGTTCATATAAGCATCTAGATCTGGTCAACTTTCACTAGTCAGTAGTGGTGTTAATTGGAAGGCTGCATATTCTACATTCCCCCCTTGTGAAAAATTTGTAGAGCTTGTGTTTTAGACAGTGGTAATTATATAGTAGGTACTAGCTGAGGAAAAATAAGAGCATTTATGTGCAGCCACCTTGATGTACTGATAGCATCTCAGTGCCTAACTTAAATAACATGACCATTTGGGAGGTGGTAAGTGGTAGGGAAAGAATGAGGTAGAAGGTAAACGTTTCCTAACTTTCTCACTTCTCTCAATAGCTAACAGCTGGTTTCTTATACTTTAACCCTTTTGCTATATGACAAAAAGTATCCTAAGGATGTTACTTGGCTGCACAGCTGCAGGTTCTAAGGAAGCAACAAACGTGAAATTAAATCTTGAACAAGTTGAAGTACGCTTTCAATTTTCTATTTCCCTCAATGCAAAAATACCATATGCTAAAGTACCCACAAACACCCTTGTTTATTACATTAGGACTATTCCAACATATATGCCATTTCTAGCTGATGACATTTGTTCTGTTACATCCCAGATTACAGCTATGTTTTTTATATATATATATTTTCAAGGTGTTCTGGATGTAATTTGTAGCATGATCTCTTTCTAAACATGTGCTGCTCCAGACAGTTCCACCCATTTTATGATATTTTGCCATACTGATGCATCCTTGCCGTGTGTCTTTCACAACATCAACCAGCACAAAAGATATATTGTTTGTAAAGTGGTGATGCTGGCCTGCCACCTGCCTTAACCATCCATTGCAAATGAGTTGTAATCAAGTGGAGCTGCTTCTGGTCTTAGTTATTCCCACTCCACTACTATGTTCACCTTCCTAGTAAAAGTTTTCTGCTCTTCATTCACCTAGCCTCTTCCCCCTCATTCAAATTTCTATTCTGGAACATCTACACAGCAACTTTACCCTTTGCTGCTTTTTCCAGGAGTGAAGATTAGGGAATGGGCCAGGAATAAAGCAACTCCTAACTGGAATGTGAGATAAATATGCCATATGTATGTTATTTCCTTAGAGTGCACAACTCTTGCCACATTTTTTTCTTCTAGTATTTAGGCCTGCCAATGGTAGGTACATAGTGATCATTTCCCCTTTTTTTCCCCAGATTATGTTGAAGGCTAACAACATTGCAGATTCCTGATTAGCCTGTATATAACCAAAATCACATGCATCCTCACCAAGATAACCACAATGAAAACATGCATTAGGCTCTTACATGGACCTCATCTGACAGGACATGCTACTGAAGGGGAGGATATACAGTACAGGTGTATATCCTGTATATTCGGTTGATAAATGTTAAGGGAATAATAGATAAATGTTTTTGTATTACCAGATATTTTTATCACCAAAATGCTAAACTGGTGGGTGCCCCAAACCACCTCTTAGCTATTTTATAGATTAGCAGTGCCAGCCACCCAGAATTCAATCACTATCCTTTGCTTTCTCTAGTCTATATACCTCTTCCACACCCAAAATGTGGCCTCAGGAAAACAGTGAAACCCGGTGCTCTCTACCAAACCTTAGTTCTCAGTTGCCATTGGTATAGGAAGGGGTATGGGGACTGGTGCTATCACCTGCCTGGGTGGAATGTCTGCTTTACTAAGGCTGGTTCTTGTTCCTAGTCCCCACTATGCATTGGCAAGAGAGCAGTTCCCAGGAAGGGAACTGCTAAAATAAGCATGGTGGTGGCTGGATGGCCACACTGGCAAGGCTAATTGACTTGTTAATCAACTGCCCGGGGAGTCAGGGTAGGAAAGAACATTTCGTTGTCCAGATGGATTGCTAATAGCCAAAGGTGGGTGATTTGTGTGCTGTAACGTGCCATAAGGAGCTGTGTGGCTGCTTCTAAGAGTACTTTCTTATTGGTAAGATGTGTGTAATACCGGAGGCAGATAGGAGAAATACCAGCTATGGCTGAAATTCATGTTTATCATACAGCTGCCAAGTCATTCAGTTCAATAAATACGTGTCTACCATGTGCCATACGCTGGTCATTAGTGAACAAAATAGACAAAAAACAAAAACTTTGCCCTTTTGGAGCTTACAGACTAGAGTAAGAGAGAAATAATAGAATGCTAGAAGATAGTATGTGCTATAAGAAAATAAAATAGTTTAAGGGGATATAGGAATGCTGGGGGTCTCGGTATTGCAATTTAAATAGGGAAGTCACTTGGGCCTCATTAAGGTAAAATTTTCTCATTTGGTGCGTATGTTATGTCTCTCAAAATCATAAAAAAAGTCAAAAGCCTGTTAGTGTTTGCATTTAGGGAAGGTACAGAGAAATCGGTGCTCTCCATGATTGGGTGGGTTTATCTGTACAGCTCTTTTAGAGGGATATTTTGTAGTAGCCACTTTGTAGTATTTTACGAAAACTAAATATGCACATTTCTTTGACCCAAACATTCTGGTATTGAACTCTAAAGAAACAAAGCATGAATGTATAACGATATAACAGTGCTTCATAAAGCACGTAGGGACTAGCAAAATGTTCAATATGTCAAGGGTTAAGTTATGGAACAGGCATACAATGGATTACTATGCCAGATTTTTAAATGATACTGCTTGTGGAGAATGTAGTGTTAAATCAGTTTTTGAAGCTCTTGGTCTGGGTAATTAGAAAATAATGTGCTGCTTCCTTTTCTCCCATGGTTCCTTTAGTTTGTAATCTCTCCTAGAGATAATGGGTTTAGATGGGTAGTGCATTTGAAAGACGGGACAAAGTAAGGAAAGCCATTTGAGCTGGATGTCTAAACTTAGAAGAATCTGAAGGGAAACCAAGTCTGACATGAAATATTTTACTAAGCCAGGAGTCAGAATTGAAAGACACTTAAGTCTAGGAAGGATTACTGCTTTAAATCAATCATACACGTCGATTACAACTAGTGTAAGCTAAAAATAGGGTGATTTAGTGTGGTAATCAAACTAAATTTTGGGTGTGGGAGTAGATAAGAGCAGTGAAGCGTGCATCTGATCCTTGAGGATATATATTGGTGTCCCTCAGATTTTATGCTTTCATAATCCCCTGAGATTTCGAAAAACTAGGTAGAAAAACTATGTACTTCTTTACATATTTGTAAATTGACACACAAATTTGTTGTAAGTTTAAATAGTTATAAAGGATGTTATTTCCAGCATACTTAAAAATAAGTCTTTGAAAAGTATATCCAATATACTTTTCACTTCAATAGCTATCACCATCTATTAATTTTTAGAAGGAATAATTTATTTTTTAGATATTTACATTTTCTCCCTGGATCTATTTCTAATCCATTTTAATGTAATGCATTTTCATGCTTGCATACATTTTAATGATCATCCTACTATACTTCTCTGCTACAAAAAATATAAATGAAAAAATCTTGAATTGAGTTACAATTAGTGAAAAACTGGTAAAAAACGACACATTAATAAAATAATTACTGAACATAAAAAAGAAAGTTATGGCCATGGCTGGGGTGGCTCAGTGGATTGAATGCTGCCCTGTAAAACAAAATGTCACTGGTTCCATTCCCAGTCAGGGTACATGCCTGGGTTGAGGGTCAAGTTCCTGGTCAGGGGCGTGTGAGAGGCAGCCAACTGATGTTTCTCTTTCACGTAGATGTTTCTCTTCCTCTCTTTCCCTTCTCTTCTCTTTAAAAATAAATAAAATCTAAAAAAAAAAGTTAATGGCTATATGTTAAGGATAGAACTTTGGATGGGAACATTGAGCAGTAAAGACTGGAGTAGAAAAATATACTGTTTTTGGTGGCGAGAATTATTCTGTCAGAGTGGAGAGTAAATAGAAGTGGAATTTGGGATATGTGCCTATGCAAACAGATTTTTTCTTTCAACAAAGATAGGAAATGTCCATAATGTGCCAGCCACAGCTAAATGAGGGAGATATAGTGCATAAGAACCAGTTCCTCTCCTTGAAGAATTTGGGGGAGGTGAGATTGAGGAGAAACACATGTAAATAAATAGTTACAATGGAATATAATATAGTTTAATAGAAGCATAGCTACTGTGCCTTATGAAACCAAAAGCATGAATGACGTGGCTCAGGATAAGTGACAGTGGCTAGTCTGTGAAGAATTACTGCACATGATGTGAACTAGTCCTAGAAGAATGAATGGGGTTTACTATGACGAGAGGTGGTTGTGTAGCTAGGGGAGGGTGTTCTAAACAAAGTGAAAAATATGTTCAAAGAAAGAAGCATTAAAAAAAGCCCAAGGAAATGGGAATGGTGTCCACACAGTGTATGTATGTACTGCGGTGGGACTGGCCAGGTGGAGGCCCGTCATGCTCCATCTCAACTGCCAGGACTTGGAGTTTGAACTTCATAGACCGGAGGGAGCTATTTGGATGGCTCTGAGTGGGCCTGTGACTTCTCATTTTTTGGAAAGACGTTCTAGATAAAAAGGAAAAGAAGGTAGGCAAGATTAGTAAGGAAGCTATAATTGTTGGTAAGGTAAGGTGATAAGGGTATGAACAAAAGCTATGATAACAGGCATTAAGAGAAAATAATGAGGTATTCAAGGCTTATATGGAGTTGAGATTTAAACCCCCTATTGCCACCTGCTCTGTCCCCCACACTCTCTTGGTGATAAGGAAATGATCAGAGTTGACTGAGATTTCAAGCTAACTTGTTTGAGTGGATGGTTGCAGGTATTAACTCAAGTTGGGAACACAGGAGAAACAGGAGGAACGTGTAAAGACCATGAATTAGGTTCAGCCCCACTGAGAGTGGAAGTCCAATAGGCAGTTAAAAAGGACTGGAGGCTCACAGAGTCAAAAGTACAGTAGTTTAAGCTACAGAAATGGACACGATCTCAATTAAGGATGTAGAAGGATGGTAGATGGTGGTAAAGAGAGATAAGAACATAGTGTAGTATCTAACAGAAGGATCTGGAGTCAGATTAGTCATTGAAACAAGTTAATTTTCAAAGCCTCAGTTTAATTGGTAAAGATTATAATAGCACTGATGTATTAAATAACATAATTCATGTAAAGCCATTAGACCAGTCCTTAGCACATGGTAAAAGCTCAGTGCATTTCAGTGACTCTTACTGTTGTTACACCATTACAGAGACATGTATTAAGAGTTATTGAGGCATGTTAATAAAACAAGAAAAACCTACAGAAAGCAGGAAGACTTTATAATTGTCCACTCATCTCCTTTACACCCATATTGTCTTAAAAGTTATCTTAAAGGAAGAATAGTTTCAATATCCAGAAATCTATTTTAGTTTCTTTCCTTGAGTATAGCATAGTGGCTCTTAAATTTTAGTTTGCTTAAGAATAACAGCATGGTGTTTTAGTACAAAATTATATATTCTAACTACATAGACATTTTAAGGGATTTCTGTAGTAATTTTGCAAATAACTTTTACCCTAAGAGTTAATTTTGGAATTGAATTACCCATTTACCCACCTCCCGATGCATCTCCTCATATGTACATATTAAGTTTAACAGACTCAAACCCGGTCTAGGAAAAGTTATCTTGTCCAATATCATGTAGTTGGTGAGCAGAGAAACAGGACTTGAACTCCTGTCTGACTCCAAAGCCTGGTCTCTTCAGTTTTCTCTATGCTGCATCTGTAGGCATGGCCAGACGCCCCCCAAATGGATTTAGTATGGTGCCTCACTGCAGGAACACCCACCATTTCAGATGATGTTAGATAGGAGAGCAGACTATGGTGTGTAGAAGCTAGTGAAGGTTAACATAATACAATCTTTTTCTGCCAAAATGGGCAGTTTTGAAGCCGCTGATGACCTTTACAAAGGAGGATGAATGTAAAATGAAACAGTAAACCTCACAATAAAAATGTAAGTGCAGCATACTGACTAGAAGCATTGCAATCTTCTGGAATTGTGTCAAAATCAGACTAATGTATGGCTCTAACCAACATGTGGTTTTCCCTTCTCACTCACTTCTTGAGGATTCAGCATTGCAGATGTCATGTTTGATACTCCCCTCAAAGAAATTCAGCAGGAAAAATACTGCTTTTAGTCTGTGGATTTTGTGTATAGCATTAGTTACTAGTTTTTAAAAGATACTACTGGAAAATTTAAAATCTCAAGCTTAGAAATACACAATATTTTAAACATACAAGTTTGTGTGTGTGTGTATATATGTATATATATTTTCAAGATATATAATATGATGTGACCAAGATCATGGATTAAAGAGCTGGACAAAACTATTACCTTTGCCAGGCTGGTGTAGCTCAGTGGATTGAGAGTGGGCCTGCGAACCAAAGGATCGTGGTTTGATTCCCAGTCAGGGCACATACCTGGGTTGCAGGCCAGTTCCCAGCAGGGGATGTATGAGAGGCAACCATACATTGATATTTTTCTCCTCTCCTTCCCTTCCCCTCTAAAGATAAATAAAATCTTTTAAAAAACCTATTAGCTTTAGGTTGTGCCTTAGTTTCATCTGGGCATCTGGAAAATGCAGGCTTCAGTCATATGGGGGGGGCAGACAGAGAAAGAGATGACTAAAATCCAAATTCATCTCCTGGCAACTCAAAGCGTTATATACTATAGATCAGAAGTATCAAAATTAAAACACTCTGGGTGCCAAAGCCAAGTCTTAGTCTCCAAAAATGCTCAGGACAGTATTTGGATGCTTTAAAAACGGTCCTCCTGGGTTGTACTAGTCTCCTTAATCCATTCATAACCTTTGCTAGGTGCCCCAAGGAGCCACTTCATGGGTCAGTGTATCCATGGTTATCCTCCATGTGTTCCTACCACTTCTAACCAGCTGTTAACTCCCTCATAATTTATACATCCCTTCATTCATCTAAAACTCATTGGCTTATCCTTACTGTACAAAACCCCATTTTAAAGTTTGAATTTAAATGCTTCAGAGTTCTCTAGGGTTCCAAATATTTTAAGTAAGCCGTAACAGTAAAATCCAATGTATGATTTAAACCAAACTTGTACTGGAGTTTGTTTCATTTTTTCCTAACTACCACATTCATACGTTATTTAAACTGGGCTATAGGCTTGTATTCTGGCTCTACTGCTAACTGTATGATCTTGGATACATTTCTTAACCAATGAAAAGTATTATTTTCTCACACACAAAAAAAACATGTTTGTTATCTGTGCTGGGTTTCAAAGTTCACGTGAAAAGTAGATGTGAAAGTGTGTGGAAATATAGCGTGACACTTACTATTCCAGGTCTGATTTTCATATCACTATATTAAAGGATGTGTCCCAGATTTCCCATTAAGTACCTTTTAACTCAAACTTCTTTGAATCCTCATCAATACCACGGTACCTATAAGACAGCATGAAGGTGTTTTCCTTTTAAAATCTGTTTTACTTAATTTACTCTTCAAGAGCGTGTGCTGCCACGTTCTAAAATCAGATTTCATATAAAGTCCACATTTCAGATCCTCTTGACAAATATGACACCGCAGGCCTGTATTCCCACATGGCAAACCTTGGCTAGGGCTGGGAAGTGATACCCCACGTAGATGAGCATGGGGAGTCCGCCAGTTTCCACTACAGGGTGTTAATTCCCTTTCCCTTACCTGCCCAGCCACGACAGGCACGTGATTGCAACTTCAGTAAAACGCAGAGCCACTACAACATATTGTGTGCCCTAGCCTATTTTATAATTAATGGATACTAAGTAGCAAAAATACAATCTAGGAACCAAAGAAGACACCAAAAGAAATACTGTTTATGTAAAGGAAAAAGACCTTTTTCTTGTGTGAATATTTAGTAAGTTCCTTTTAAGTGAATTCAAACTGGACAGCAAAGGTCATGTGGATGGGAGTAGAAGGAATGGTGGGAAAAATGGCAAAATTTAAAAAATATTTTGTCTTATCCAAGATTTGTGGTTAATTACTAGAATAATTTTCAAACGCAGATTTCTGAGTGTAAACAAACACGAGAAAAAGGGAAAAGAGGGAGCTCGAAAAGAAAGTGTTTTCCAGCAGACACAGTGTAGTGATGCCCACTCTCAATCAAGTGGCTACCCACATGCTAGCAGAATGCCTAATCTGGATTGATAATGTTCATCCGGAAGTGCCAAATAACGTCATTATGTCATGTAGTTGGAAACCACAGTATTCTGTTTTGCTACTGGGTATCTCCTGGTGGAAAAATGTTTCAACATGCTCTGTTTGGCTAATTAATCCAGACTCATGTGAATAAAATGTGTGGTGTCTAGCTTCTGGAATGTGCCGAGGCTGAAGAACAGGAACAGTTCTTCCTGGGTGAACCTGGCATTGCTTTTGGTATACTCCAGTAGTAGAAACTACTACTCAGCAAGTAGAAAATGACACAACATCCTACTCATGCAGAATGTCTTTTTCTAGTATTTTTTCCTATCTTAAAATACAATACTAGAAAGTGGTCCTAAAAATGTTAGCTATTAACCTTTTTAAAAAGTATCTGAAGAACTTTTTCACATTCTCAGCATCTGAGATATCTATTTCAACAGTATTTAAGGAATGGGATTGATCTTCAGATCACCTGCATCTAAATTCTCTGGACAATTATTAAAAAAATATAGATTTTTCTGCAGACTCTCAGAATCAGAATCTCTATTTTATTTAGTTCCCTACATGGAACTTGGAGAATGCTATCTTAGATTCATTCTCACCCAATAAATATTCCATCCCTACTATGTGCCCAAATTGGACTAAGAAGTTCTTAGTAATAGCTACCACACAGTGACTACATACCATGAGCTATATACCTGGTTAAAGCACTTTATATATAGTTAAGTCATTCTGTTCAACAATACTAAGGGATTTTATGGCTCAATTTAATAGAGGATAAATAGAATCAGTCAACTGTCCAAAGTCACCGGCTAGTGAATGGCCCTGTTCCTGAAGCCCAGGTCTGATTCTAAATTCTGTGGTCTTAATTGCCTTACTTGAATCTGCAGTCAACTTAAATTCTTTTCATAGTCCCACATGAGCAAAATTCCTTCCACACAAAAAGAAGTGACTGATGGAGTGTATCACTTACCTTTCAATTTCTGCCCTCCCAGAGCATTTCCTTCTGCTCCCTTAAGTATATTTTCTTTCTTTCACTTATCTTTTATGATCAAATATAAGTGTAGGATATGAGGAGTACTGAGCTTGGCAGTTTTGGAAGTTTTTCTCTTCTGATTATGAAGCAAATTCTGCAAGAACTTTGCTATCCATTGGGCAGAGAATTTCCCTAATGTACTGTTAAGTACAACCTTGATTTTGTAATTTTTAAATGGCTTTGATGAATGTTACCAAAAAGCTATCACAAGAACACGAGGACCAACTTTCTTTCTTGCAAGAAAATTTCAGGGGGACAAATAACATTGCCTAAATTGGAATGTGGCCAGATGGCCAGCAGTTGCCTTGGTATTTGCTTTGATAACATCAAGATTCACATGTATTTGAACTGCAAGGCCCACACATGTTTTCATCAACAGTCCTCAGGGTGCCACGAGCTGAAACTCATGAAACTATGCTGACATCAGTACTGTGCTGCAGATTGCATTGCATTAACTCTATGTGTAGGCAAAGTAGCAGCAACACTTTATTAAAGCTAAGCAGTCTATGTTGCCAGTCCAAAGCACTAACACATACTCCATGCAAACAAGATTAAATGCTAAACTCTTTGAAAGATGCCATAGGAGATGAGTGTGCTAAGAAATGGAATGGATTCAAATCCATGGTAGATGTAGCTACATTTGAGAAGGCCTACAGTATGACTACTGTGAAGCAATGCAAAAAATGTGAAATAGAAGCTAATCAAGTCTCTAAACCAACTTCTGATTTATAAGAAAAAAATAAAGGAGACAAAGACCCTGGTCAGAACTCTTCAAAATACTGATGTAACAAGGGAAAACAAAGAATGGGGGAACAACTATTCTACACTAAGGATGAAGAGTTACAATATCCAACACAATGCAAAAACCTTGACTGGATTCTGATTTTTCTTTTCCTTTTTGCCAGGAGGATGGAGAAGATATAAAGATATTCTTGGGTCAAATGAGAAAATTTACATAGACTGGATTTTAAATATTACAGAATTATTAATTTCCTCAGTTGTAATGATACCGTGTTTTGCAGAACTTTATAATTCTTAGGAAACACAGATTGGAAATTTAGGAGTGTCTACTTAACAATAGGTGTCTGCAACCTACTGCTGAATGGTTCAGTGACAATGAAAGTGTGTGGGATGGGATGAAACAAATATGGCAAAATGTTAACAACTGGTGGACCTAGGAAAGACATATAAAAGTTTATTGTATTCTTTCAACTTCTTAAATGTTTGAATATTTCTTTTAATAAAAAAATTGAGGGAAAAGATCATGTTTGAAATCTTCAGAAGGGAAGCCTAAGAAATGGTTGAGTAATAGAGAAGATGCTGAATTTCTGATAAACTGAAGTTCTGTAAAACTTTGCTGGTAGTGTCTTGGGCATCCAGGAGACATCTCAAAATTCAATCTTTCAATACTTACCAAAATATAGGTTCAGGATAAAATAATAGGCGGATGAATCTGATACCATTCTATTTAGACATCGCACAATAGTGAAGCTAAGAACATGAAGCAGCTGTTATATAGTCTGTCACATAAGATACAAAAAGTGCTAGGTAAACTCAGAGAAAATTACTTCCTGCTGGGGAGAATCTGGAAACGTATGTCCAAGGAAAACCAGGACATGGACAAAGAATCACAAAAAGCTGGTGCTTGGGTGATTAACCTTGGAATAAACAAGTAGTTCATTTGGGCTGGAATATGAAGTAGAAATTAAGAAGATAGGCTTGTTAAACAAGTTTCAGTTTACCTGAAAGTTCTTCTGGTCTTTTTCCTCCACAGCTTTAGGTAGCTTTAAGCATCCAACCCGGTATTACCAAAATGATTGACAATTTTTGATTCAAGCCTACAGAACGAACTACATGAAATAGTGTGTGACACTCTTGTCTTTAGAATCCATATAAAACTAATTCTGTATTTTTATAGATATTCACAAACATTAAATTGTTTAATAAACTGTAGGCATGCATGATCAGGACAGAACTGCAGTCAATGCTGACAAACCCTCAAGAGAGAAGGGAGGGAGAAAATTCAGAATGTGGAGGCTGGCAAGCAAGGCCGAGAGGTGTTGCTGCAGTGGTGGGGGACCATCCTTTTCCTTTATAGCTGAGAAGGGAAAATGATGTTCTCAAGCTCCTTAGTTCTTCAAAAGTCAGGGATTGAAAGTTCTTAATAGGCACTTGTGGGGGCGTGGTGAGGAGCTTCAGGTCGGAGTTAGGTTCTCCGTCCGCGGCCCGTGTCCAGGCCCCACGGGTCCCGGCGGACTGCAGCAGGGCGAAGGGGGCCGGTACAGCGGCCTCGCCCGACAGGGAGCCTCAGAGGGGTGGAAAGAGGGCGGGCCGCCGCCTGGCGAGCCCGGAAAGAAAAGCTTCTTCCAGCGGAAGCGGCTTTGAGTCCCGCTTGCTTCTGCGACACTGTCTCCCAAGGACTGTCCGGCCCAGGCCTACACCACTGGTCGAGGCCGAGGGACACTCACTTCACTTAGCTACTCCAGTTGGAATGGGCACCCCCTGGGGCGCGGGGGGCGCACACTTTCCCCACCCTTCCGCCACGACCCCTTGCAGAAGTGCCAAACGCAACTTCCGGGCAGAACAGAAATTATTGGAGCTCTAAACTCTTGTCCACCTAGGTAAGTGACCAGACGTCCAAGCAAACTAAGGGCCAGGAAACCTGCTCCCTCCTCTCCCCCATCCCAGGCAAATAATCCGGAATATTAATTAACTTGTCTAACAAGGGACGTCTGGTCACCTTTGGTTCCATTTCGGGTCTACTTACAGGTAATTCTCTTCCCAGACGGCTCAACTGTTGCCCAGGCAACGGAGGGATTGGGCGAAGGGAAAACTACGTCACACCGGAGACGCGAGGCCAAGGGGGGGAAAAAAAAAAACAACTCCTGTTGCCATTATCAGTTATGGCTACTTTGGCTTCAGCGGTAACTTCCGATTGAGAGTTGTCACTCTACCCTGCTGGAGGCTTACTCTGTGACCAGGCTAGCCAGCGGCGCCCAGTGGGCGGGAGAGAGGGCGCAGGGGAGCGGAGGAAAGGAAAAGGGCAAGCAGAGGAAAGCTGGAGCCAATCCCTTACTCTCGTCCGCTGGCGCCAGTGCCTCATCCTGATTGGGCAGCGTCAACTTCTCTCGCTCCGCCCGTTTTTCTTCCCCAGCAAGTGATCGGCCTGCGCCGTAGGGGTGGGGCGGCGCGGTAGGAGCGAAAGTGAGTGGAGGAGCGGGCGGGGCGGGGCGAGTGGGGGAGGGGCGGGCGGGGGGCGGCGGTTGGGCAGCGTCGCTTCTAAGGCGGTGGAGGAGGAGGAAGGAGGGCGAGCGAGGAGGATGGCGGAGTCGGGGCTCCTGACGGTAACCCGGGGCCGCTAGGGCGGGAGGGTGTCCGTGGGTCGGTTCTTTCTGCCTTCCTTCCTGCCCGTCGGGCAGTCGGCTGACCGTCGGCAGGGGGAGGCCCCGAGCGCTGTGACAGGCGCGAGCCGGCGGGGCCGGGGCGAGGCCCCAGGGGCTGGGGCCCTGGGAGGCGCCGCCGCCGCGGCGGCTTTCTTGGGTGCTGTCGCCGGGAGGCCTGGGTCCTTGGACCCGGCTCTCTGTGCGGGGACCGCGGCTGGGCGCCCAGAGCAAGCCGGCCGGCTCTGACAGCGACTGGGGCCAGGCCTTCGGTGGCGGCGGGCGGCCGGGACGGCGCCCGGGCGAGGGCGAGCCGGCGCGAAGGCGAGGGCCGGGGGCGTCTGGCGGACCGTCCTGTTCCGCTCGGCTCCCGGAGCCACGGGGTCCAGGCTGCTGGGAGACCCGTGGGCGTCCAGGAGGGCGTGTAACTGGTTGGCGGGGTCCCTGGCGCTGCGGTAGTGGGACGGGGTGGGGTCTTTCCTTGTCCCCTCCCCAAAGCCCTCCACGCTCTCTTCGTCTCCTCACCCTTTGGTGAAGAGTGGTGAAGTAGGTTTTGGGTGTGTTGCCTGGTGAAGCGAGTTGTAGGCATCCAGGACTGCCCAGTTGGACATGCCTGATGGCAACCTCTTTCGCGGCAGTCTTTAGAGATAGAGAAAAAGTGCTCTACCCCCTGTCCCCCTCTCCAGCTCAACGCTAGAGGCTTCAGGACAAAACGATTTTCCCCCGGCCCCTCAGTACCCATTGTTTTGTACCATCCTCCTCCCCCGCTCCGTGCCTAGGTAGAAGAATAATGACACCAAACCATTAATTGCTCCCCCCGCCCCGCCTTCAGCAGCGGATTTGTGTTATTGTGTTAGTGTAGATTTACAAACAGGTGGAATGAATACTGATTCGGGTAGTGGAAAGATGGATTTGTGTGTGTGTTTTTAAGATTACAGCCCTTACAGTTGCTGATTTGATTTTTCTCTTCTATCTGTTGCTTTGTATCATAACGGGGGTGATGAGAATAAAAGAGGAAGCAATGTTTTGCAACGTACCCAAAGAAATGTTTTCTAAGTCCCTGGGGATGCTGAAGCAAACGTGGGTTGCAGATGTGGACTGTATAGTATTTGCCTTCATCATAACTACCTACCAGCAGTCTATAAGCTTACACTTGTACAATTTTGTACATTTCGTAAATGTCAGCAGCTTCTAGTAGCTACTCAGAGGGATTATTGTATCTAAAACTTATTTTTGTTATGTTTTGCAGAATCCTAGGGTACACTTGTGTAACAAAGTGTTTCGCATCCGAATGTAATATCAACACTGAAAAATTGTCTTGATTTTACATTCTTAAGTTTATTAGTGAACTAATCTACAGACTTCACCCTTCCATGCCATAGCCCTTATAACTGTTACTTTGTATTTGAAGGGACTTAGCTATTGTGTACAGTTTGTAACAGTCAGTACATTTGCATTTATAGTTTGAATTTATTGTGTTGAGGTTTTTCCATGTGGCAGTGACAAGAATTTTGAGGAATATAAAGTATATAAATGACTATGCCCGAGATACGGGACTTAGACTTTTACGATAAGGCTTTTAACATAAAGTACACTGTAATTCTTTTGTTTAATTATGAATACACATTTGGAAAATAGACCACAGACAAATAAATGAATAAATACTTTAAAGTTTGTAACTTTCTAATGGCTTAACTGTAATGTAAAGCTAACATGTAAAACTATAATCTTTTTTCCAGAGTTACTGAGAAATAATTGACATACATCACTGTGTAGGTTTAAGGCATATAGCATGCTGGTGTGATTTTTACTTATTATGAAATGATGACCACAATAGGTTTAGGTAGCATCCATCTTCTCATATAGGTACAATAAGAAGAAACAAAACAAAACAAAAAAAGCACAAACTTTTTTCCTTGTGATGAGAACTCTTAGGATTTATCCTCTTAACTTTCCTCTTCATTGTACAACCGTGTTGGCTATATTCACCATGTTGTACATTACATCCCTCCCTCCATCCTCCACTTCTGGTAACCACAAGTCTGATCTTTTTTTTTTTTTTTTTAAAGGTTTCACAGCTAAGTGAGATCATACTGTAGTTATCTTTCTGTGTCCAGACTTATTTCACTTAGCACAATTCCTTCAAGGTCAATCCATTTTGACTCAGGTGGCAGGAATTCCTCGTAAACCTATATTCTTCAAATGCTAGAGGTATTTTTGAGGTATGGACCTCACCTATCTCTAAGGTTGCTGCTTTTTCCCAAGGTGTTTGTTCAGTTTTTGAAGAAACAACTACATTTATGGCAGGTTGACATGTGTTCTCTAGTGTCATTGTTAATATAATTTTCAAATTGTTAAAAAATTTCCCTTAATTCTCATAACTTGTTATGGTTTAAAGAGTGATTAGGAGCTACATTAACAGCTTGCAGCTGGGTAATTTTTTTAGTTTGTAAACTACCATATTCAAAAAGTTTATCAGCTCTTTTGATAATTGTAACAAGTAAAAGTCTTATAACAGCTTGTGAACTACAGTCAGAAATTTGAAATATTTCACTTTTCAAAAGAAACAGCAAAATTAGATATTCTTTTGTTAGACTTGCTGGAATTATACTTTTTAAATAGTTCTATTTTGTCAGTATTTTGGGTCAAGGCTTGTTCCACATTCAAGAGACAGAAACTGGAATTCTCTGTAGAATGCTCCCGAAGATGGTTTCTGAATAGTTGCCAGTAAAGTTTTTGCCTGGGCTTACCCATGTGTATTGTGGGGGAAGGGTGAATAAAATTGGAATTCTTCATTATCCAGGTAGTTAATCGCTGTCATATTTGTTTTGAAGATATGCTGGATTATCAATATCTGTCTTGTAATTTAATATTTCTGTAGGACTTGTGTTCTTTAAACCATTTAAATAAATTTTAGAATTTTTCTAATGAGAAATTAAATATAAAACAATCTGTTGTTTTTTACTAAAAAATATACTCTAGCCTGTATGTGAAGAGTGAAGATTAAATGAAAGACTGTATCTTTAGAATTCAGTGTACTATATCATTCATGTATATTCATGTATGAAAAAATGTGAAATAGTGCTTATAACATAATAACAATGATGGAAAAACCAAGACCTCCCCTTCCCCAAAACCAGAAAAAAAAAAACAACAGACAAACAAGTTGACCCACAAGTCCTTCAGTGAGTTCCAAGTTTTGCAGCTTGGCCTTGGTAGGGAGTGTTCCTGAACTAGTTTATAATATATCAATTAGGAGAGTAAATTTAGATATAAAATAAACACTTTGACAACTTCTAATAAGACTGGTAGGGAATTGGTAAATATTTTGTTATAGATGATTAGATAGAAATTGGCTGTGATTTAGCAACAGAGTGATACATTAAGTATTTTTATGTGGTACTTGAAAAGTGAGTAGTGCAAATATGAAATTGGTTGTTACTTTTATTGGTAGACTTAATGATTTATGTATTATATTATGCATTAGGTAAATTATAATGTAAGGCTAAATTTTACACATATAGATGCAATTTGTTATTCTGTTATCCATCTTCTGAATTTTGTTTTGTCTACTTGTTGTGCTGCATCAAAGTTATGCTCTATAAATCTTTCTGGAAATATTTTTTCTGTTAATAGAATGGTTAAGTTTTTGTATTTTCCTACCTCTCTGTCTACACTGACTTTTAAAACCTGAAAAATGTGTAAGTTCCCAGGTGACTTATGGTGTGCTTGAACTTAATATATTATAGTTTTCTGAAATATAATTGTCAATCAGTGTAGTTTGAAAAGAACATGCAGAAGTCTGAGAAACTGACTTACATTCTAAAATGTGTAGTTGCATTATTTTAAAGTAAACATTTATTATGTCTTTGTTAGGTATTTTCCCCTGGTTTGTAACTTTTTCACAAATCAGAGTTCCCACACATGAAAATAATATTCTAATTACAAAGGACTCTTCAGCTTTTGAGATGTTGGTAACATATGTGCTTTTTGAGAAAATATGAAGTTCCCATTATCAAGAATTAAAAGAACTAATTAGCTTTTACACTATATGTCTCATTGCAACTTTTCTAAAGATCAGCACTGGTTGCAAAAAGTACTGCATGCTATATAAAAGGCAAAGGTTCTTTTCTCAGAAAGAATGAACGTGTTGCTTGAAGCTAAAACATTACAGGAGACGTTTAAAGGGTATAATTGGTCCCTATGTGAAATGAACCTGAAGGGTTTTTATGAAGTATTTGGCATGTCTATCTTCTAAAGTTTATAGCACCATGAACACTAAAAATTTAAGCACTTTATTTGTCCTCAAATACTATTTATAAACCCTACAATTTTGCCCTGGCTGGTGTAGCTCAGTGGATTGAGTGTGGCCTGCGAACTAAGGGATGGTGGTTCAATTCACAGTCAAGGCACATGCCTGGGTTGCAGGCCAGTTCCCAGTGGGGGACACAGGAGAGGCAACCATACATTGATATTTCTCTCCTTCTCTTCTTCCCTTCCCCTCTAAAGATAAATGAATAAAATCTTTAAAAATAGAAAATAAACCCTACAATTTTAATTTAGTAATTTTACAGTTTGACAAAGATATATGTTTTTCCTCTTAGCTTTTCTAATGTCTTATAGGTAAAGTAGAAATGACTTGTTTGACACTG